CTAGCATGCACAAGACTGTAGGTTCAACCCCCATTAACACACACACACACACACACACACACACACACACACACACACACACACACACACACACACACACCTGTAGCTAACTGTAACTTGGTAACTTGTCCAAGGCTACAAACTCACTTGGAATCACCTACATTTTATGTCTAGGGCCGTGGCTGCTTTGGATAGAGCATACATTTGCCCCTCTGGGCTCATCTTGGTGCACTGGCTTCAAGGATCTGCCATCTGAAACACTGGCGTGTGAGAGGACTAAAGTCCGACCTGCTCTACATACTCTTTCCAATTGCCTGTGCCATAAAACCCAGGTACTGCTATGTGCTGCCTGGCACTGCTCTCTAACCGTCCCATGAGTATGTACAACCCTTCTCATATCAGATGTTAACTTCTTCGAGATCAAACACCACATATCTTTTAATCCCTGCCTACCTGCAAACCCTCTACTGAGAACACAGGCCACACAGTCTGGAGATTAGGGGCTATTCTTTGTAACTGACTGCTCTACTCCAGCATGTAGTAAAATGCCTGACATAGAAAATGCACAGGACATACCATGCAAAGAAATGAACAAACCAAATGCTGCTGACAGCTGACCAAGAATAAAAAGTTGTGAAGTCAGAGGCCTGACTCTCCAACACTATTTGAGAGAAGTAATTTAAGCAAAGGGAGAAAAGTGTTAGCTAATCTGGAATCAGAACCTCTGAAAAACTTACTCTAAGCATAACACACAGCAGGATACCAGGCTCTTTCTGATTGGTTACTGAATAGAGGATGGGGCAGGGTGGGGGTGGGGCAGGATAACAAAGAACATCTTCAGTTGCCAGGATTTCCATTCTCTGGTAGAATGCAAAGCTCAGAAACACAGATGCTTACTTTAGAGTTTAGGGCTGACCAAGCTGAGCATCCCATGCCCACAACGTCTAAGAAGTAGGAATGAACTTTGCTTGTATTCTTCTGTCAATTCTCCTTGCTTTAACATCGAGGAACAGACAAATCCCCAGGATGTGTGTGCGAGTGAAAAAGCCAGAGATGGATAAAAATAATTCAATGACAAATGCTGGAAAAACACACAAAGGGGCAGAAGCCAGACATTCGTGGGATTCCCTGACAGTTCGACCCACAAGGAAGGGCTGGTCTGGAAAAAAACAGGGCCTCAGGTTCCTGCCAAGCTGTCTGAGGCCCTGTCCTTCCCAAATCACTCCAAGCAGCAGCCAAAACTTTGTTGTAACCCTTCCCGGTCTCCCAGAAGGATTCACAAAGAGAAATGCACCCCAAACCCATCAGGTGTTCCTCACCTAGAAATTCTCTCTGGTGATGTGGTCCAGCTCCATGGAGGACTGGAAGTAGAGAGGAGAGACTTGCACACGGAATCTCAGCCCCTAATAACTCCCTCCTGTGCCCAGAAGACAGATAACAGAGAAGCCAACCTTGCTCACTAGCTAGGGAAAAGCCAAAGTCATGTACCAACACCCAGTGACCAGAGACAAGGCTTGAAGAAAAGGTCATAAACACGTGATCCTGGCGACCAGGGTTCCTGTTGGTTAAGTCTAATGTGGTGCCTGCATCCCAGAGTCCTGCTGGGTAATTCACACTGGCCCTGCTTGAGGCATGCCTCAGACTTCTACACATGTGACTGCATTTGGCCCTAACAAGTCTCTCTTCTGGAGAATAGCCTGCAATTAATCTCACTTATTACCTCTGAAAAGTAACAACAGAGGAATGGCGGGCCAAGTCCAACTCCAGAGTGTCTAGGGAACTGCAAGCTGCATGGCCAGGTCTCAGACTGTCTGGGCAAGTTGTGGGCTCTTTGCCTTCCTCTCCCACAACAAAGCCTGAGCAGGGACTCCAGACAGACCAAAGGAACCAGGGGATTTGAGGCGCTGGGCTGAGCTCACGCTGACCCAATGGGAGACGACAGCCCTGAGGCTACATTTGGGGCAGTTTCCAAGAGTGAGGGAGGAATAAGGTTGTCTGGTGAAAGCTTGTGCGATCCATAAAACGGAGAACAATGGCAACGTGGGGAAATGAAGAGTAACACTATCTGTGAGTTCTCGTGAGTCACTGTGCATTCATTCCTGTGGCTACCAAGTCTCCAATTCTCCGACATGCTGATGAAAGTACGGCCAGCACAGGGAGTCTCTTTACATCTCAGCTGTGCAGGGCAGCCTAGTTTACTGAATTAGCACACTGTATTAGCCTGGAATCCACTGCTGTTATCACAGAAGCTAGTAAGAGTACCTTTTATTTACTTAACTCCCACTTCTAAGGAGATCAAAGGCAACCTAAAAGCTCTCAAAACAGTCCAGTTTATATGTAAGTATGCTTACCCTATAAAAAGATTAAATGAATAGCTTAAGGTCGCTTAGTGTCAAAACCAGTAATAAAACTCACATCTCTAAGCTATGAATCCCATATTCATTAAGCTTAGTCACTTCTTACTACAAAGAAGGAACAAGAGACTAAGTCAATATCCAAAAATGCCTACTTCACAGTGACTTACCATGTGAAAGTGGAAATCAGGACTCAGGACTGTGTAGAATGCCTCTGGCTGGGACCTCAGAATTCACTTAGCACTGCTCTTGGGTGGCTGCTCCCGGAATTCCACATGGAACTAGAATGCCCAAGTTGAGCCCCCAGCTGTTCTAGCTAGCAGAGGTTACCAAGGAGCCACAGAAGACATTCCCAGGCTCCTTAGATTTCACTAGAACAGGGCAACTGGCCCTTATGCTTAAAGAAAAGCAAGTAGAGCTATTGTAGACAATTAAGTCAAGAAGGAAAGCTGAGGGGACTTCATGGAGGCTGCATTCTGGCTGCAGAGGCAGTGAGGCAAATACAGGATGCCAGCTCACTGCAGGGCTCACAGACTTCGAGAGAGTCAAAGGAAACTAGGTCTCGGCTTTGACTCTGACACATCCCCGCCATCTTTCTTCTTATTTCTAACAGGTGTTGCCAAGAGAAAGCTCTACAGCCAGCCAGAAGTTCTAATAAAGCTCCCTCCTCCAAATATGCAAAATGTAAAAAAAAAAGTCTACTTCTCCAAATGTATACTCTGACACCTTATTTACAGTATGGAAAATGCTGGTTGCTGTCACCCAGCTAGAATAGCACAGGGCATCATAAATGCATTCCACAGGAATGGCTCTGCAGTGTCATGAAAACGTAATACTTGCAAACATCTGTAAGGTGGATAAAGCTCTCTGTATGAACAGCTTTTTTTCATGACTTCTGTTTCAGGAATGTGGTTATTCTGTAGATTGGAAAGCAGAAAACAGCCTTCCCTGTGTGGAGGGCGCCCTGTCTCAGAAGTGCTGCAGCCCCGCTTGGCTTCAGCTCTTCTCATCCTCAGCAGAGATGGTTCTTTCAACCCCAGCCACAATGACTCTGGGAGTGAGAGATACCATTACAGGGCATGATGTAATGTGCTTATATTCATTTCACTTCCTGGGCATGGTTTCTGGTTTCCAAATTAGCTCCTTAAATACTAATTCTGACACCACTAGAAACTTCAGCAGTAAGGTAGTTCTTCCCTCCCCAGGTCTTTGGTTTTCCTTTTCAAGCTTCCAGCAAAGCAGCACAGAAGAGGCAGCAGCAGGAACTGCTGCCCTGGGGTGGGGTGGGGTGGGGTGGGGTGGGATGAGGGCAGGATAGGTGGGGACACACAACCACTGGGACATCTGACAGCTTCATGCCAAGTGAAGAGGACCCCACAGAATGCTCCACTCTCTTTAACAACCACATCTCTTCACTGCTCATCTGACTGGGGGACTGATGCTGCTGAGTCCTTACTCAGTAACCCCTACAGCAAGCTGGACCAGATCACTCCCTCACCAGGAAATTTCATATAGACAAGAGGAGTTCAAACAGTGTTAAAAACATACATCACCTATATTACAGTTTGTTCTTGTCCTAATATTGTTCTTTTAAAAGAAATGTTAGATGGGAGTGGTGGTGTAGCACCCCTTTAGTCCCAGCACTCAGGAGTTCCAGGCCAGCCAGACATAGACCTCATCTCAAAATCAAAGCAAAACAATTTCAAGTTGTATGGGTAGGGAGGTGTGGATGATATGAGGGAGGGAAAAGAATATGACCAAAACATGTTGTATGAAAAAAGCAATAAGGGGAGGGGTGACACAAAACAAAACATTTTACTACTGTGTGTCTGTGCACATGCCATGGCGCCCACGCTGAGCGTGGAGGATGACACCCTGGGATGGCTTGTCTCCACGGCAGTTTCTGTGGGTCACAACAGGTGGCCCGGCTTGTGTGGCAAGCACACGCCAAGGAATTTCTGTGTCAGGTTGAAGCTTTCCTGCACAGATCCTTTCTTTGTCTTTTATGATACTGCCATACTGGAAGACTGAAGACCAGGTATTTTGTATTTGGGAACCTATTTCCTATTATATCTTTTTCATAACGGGATTGTTAAAATATAGAAAGAGACTACCATTCAATACAGTGCTTTCTTTTTAGTTTAGAACTTGCTCTATATCCAGAATCATTTGGATTTTATCCTCTAACACTTTTCAGCTACACAAAGGAATGACTCCCCAAGTCAACATTATCAGAGGAGGCTTAATTATACAACTTTAATTATGGCTGGCACTTAATTATGTAACCTGGCTTTCTAAAATATAAGAGAAAAACGCCTTTCCAAAGCAGAGCCCAGAGCAGCTGAATGAAGCACCATGCAGTGTGAGGTATAAAATAAGAAGCAGGGACGAGCACAAAGTGGCAAAACCCAGACATAAGAATGTTCAATGGAAGCAAGGACGAACAGAGCAATTTTCCCAAATACCAGAAACTTCCTTGTCATGAAAACAACCTTACAAGTTAAAGCAGGCCTTTTGGCTCAGGGTTACAGGATGTGGACAGGCAAAGTAAAGGCAGAGCTCTCTGTGGCACCATCACACTTGGGATGCAGTGACAGGCAGACCAGTCCTGTGAAACCCAAATGCTAGCCCGGGCCCTCCACTCACCTGCTTCCAGGGGGGCTAGAGTGGTTCTCAGAAGCATGGAGGTCTGACTGGATAGACCAGGTCGGGCCACTAGGACTGATGACAGGTCGAAGGGTAGGGGGTGTTGAAGCACTGCTTCTGTTTATGACATTGCTGGCCAAATTCAGGTTTGCCACCTAGAAAGCAGGGGAAGGAAATAACTTGATTTTACAAAGTTTTAGAAAAGTATCATGAAAAACATATGGGAGCAATCACAGTTTGAGAGACTGACTCATCGGGGCTGAAAGCAGTGGCTGCGACAAAGGCAGAGAGCACAGACTGGCTTCTGTGCACAGACAGCAGAGGTGGGGAACCTGCGGTGTCTGCGAGCTCTAGCAGGCAAGAGCTCATTCTGCCCCTGCTCTGTGGACTGCACTGGAATGAGCCAAACAATGTTCAAACCAGACAGCCTTCTTTCTTCATTTGGAAGTTCTAAATGCTTAAACAAGCTCTAGTTGTAGGTAAAATAGTAATAAATATTATACAACAAACTCAATCATTTAGAAAGAAACACCTGGAAAGTCCATTAAAATGAGTATTAATGTTCATAAATAATTTACAAAGACGGAATGTCACCAGCCACTTTAACATTTTGAACTAGTTTCTACTTGGAAGTAAAAATTATTTTTTAAAAATGTAAACTGCAAAGAAATGCAAGTTGTAAGACAAAACTGTCATAATGCTATATAGAAAAAAGTGTTCAGGGTCTGGAGAGATGGTTCAGCCGTTAGGAGCACTGGCTACTCTTATAGAGGACCTAGGTTCAATTCCCAGCACCCACATGGTGGCTCACCACTGCCTGTAACTGGAGCTCCAGGAGATCTGATACCTTCATGCAGTCATGCATACAGGCAAAATACCAATGCACATAAGAGCAAAAAATAAAAAAAAATTAAAAAAAGAAAAAAGTGCCTAATAATGGCAAGGGACAGATCAGACAAGCACTTATATTACTTGTGTGCCTGCGAGTTGACAGAACTTTTGTAGATATCAATTTAGCAATGTTACTAAGGTATACTAGAATATTGTCCACTCTGATGTTTGCGTTAGACCAATTCAAAGAATGCCTCAGGTGATAGATGACAGTGACCATTACAAGAGCAGTTGATTTTTATTAGAATTCAGTACAAGAGTGCGTCACACACATCTCATGCAAGTTCAGAGTGAGGTCATCAGTACAGTGCTGATCTGAATCTTCATTTTGCACAGGAGGAAACAGTGAGGATCTCATTGAGGCCTTGGAATAAACAGCACAACTAAGGTTCAAGGACTGGAGCCCCACAGCTTTATACCATACACTACAGAGAACATGTACTTGAAAGTAAGCATTGTTTTTTTAACAGTGAAATAGGACAAGGACATTTTGCTCTATCCATGTAAGAGGATACTATTTATTCATTAACATTTTTTCAGAAAACACTTGATCTAGGAATATGATGATAACTCAAGAAAAATCACACTAATAAAGAAAACTCACAGTGTTAAATCTTAAACATAAACAGACATGTGGATAAACATCTCAAAAGCTAGGAAGAAAGCTCCAATACACAACATCTACTTTAGCATGGCTATATCATTTGTTTTCTTGTGCTTCTGTGTATTCTCCGTGGTTTTTTAGCTATTGAATGAGCCAGAACATTTTTTCAAAGCTGTTAGGTTCACTGCAGTGGGGAGGTACCCAGTGTATCACCTGGGCAGTCACAGAAGATGAGGAAAGGGAAGGGGTGCCTAGGAAAGCACTTGAGACAGGGAATGCAGAGATGCTGAGAGGGGAAACCCAATGTACAAGCTGCCCGTGTCTTAGGTCATCAGGCAAGAGAAGCAAACTGGAGAGAAATGCTTGTCTATAAAACATCTCAAGTACCTAAATAACCTTGACATTTACAAGTGAAAGAATTCACATTTTAAAATTATCTGAAATCATGAAAACAGAAAAGTCATTTTTAGCACCAGTGTAGTGTTTCCTCCCCAGTTATAGAAGTTGGTAAGTGAAAACAGCCCAGACCAGTGTCTTTTCACCAATGACTCAAACTACTTTTCTTGGACAGAAAGCGGTTTTCCATAGGTTAGGAGCAGCCTCTGGCGACTGTGAGGCTGGAGTGTGAGGCATTGTGGTTCTGCTCTCCAGGGTGGGCCATGCTTCAGAAGAGATCTTGGGAGCTAACCATGACTATTCACTTCTGTTCTCTGTCTGAAGGTACCAGGGACAGAGGGAAGGCACACGGTGACTAAAGAACATGTAGGATATTGTTGAAAATTATGGGAGTACTTCTTCTCTGGACCCTAGTTTTTTGAAGTACTCTGTCCTACTATTTTCTTTACCCTACAGGTAGCAAGGGGCAGCTTCAGAGACAGTGACACTGGCTCCGGTAGGACTGGAGAATATATTCCTAACAAACACCAACTCCACCAGGTGTTTTAAATTAATTGAACATGATCTTGTAGACTGTACCAATATCATAGTGTGAGAAGTGTAACTATAATAAGTAAGAGCTGAACTGGAAACCAGGGGTAGCAAGCTGGTTCAGTGGGTAAGAGCATTTGTTGCTCTTCTAGAGGATCAGGGTTCAGCTCTTAGCAAGGACATCCACTAGCTCAAATCTACTGTTAACTCCAGCTCCAGGGAATCCAATGCTCTCCGCTAGTCTCTACAGATACACACACCCACAGACACACACACTTAAAAAAGAGTTATGCCAATGTAATAAAGGGACTTAGTAATAGTTTATAGTGGCTAAACAATAGATTAAAACGTGCACACTGCCATGTTTAGCATAAAGAGCTGAATTTGGAGAATAGAGCAATCAAAAGAAAGGAGAGGATACATTTGATAATCTATGCCTTGGCATGGCAGTCCTTAATTCAGTCACCAGTGTTCATACCCCAACAGCAAACACAGACTACTCTCTGTGTGCCACGTATTGCCATCCTTGCATGTTCTCATCCAACCCTGAGTATAATGCTCTTACCACCAAGGAAACAAAAGTCTAAAGGAGCTAAGCGCTACACAAACTCCTTACTTCCAAGTGGTGGCAAGGCCAAGATGAGAAAGAGTGCGTGTCAAATGCTTTCCCTAGACAATACAGCTTCACACCTGAGTGGTGCCAGGCATTTTGGATGCTATAACAAGTTCACTTATACTTTACCCATTACTCATTGGGGAAGACACTCCATTTCACAGATGCGGAAAACCAAGGCTTCACCCAAAGCCATATAATGGTTGTAGAACTTGGGCTCTAGTTTCAACTTTTCTAAATTGGATGTAGGAAAACAATCCTATTTACTCTTAACTATTAGGAAATTTTAAAACTGCCATCAGATAGAGACCTCAAGTGCTGAAGGCAGTGATTAACAGCTCTTCCTCCTTTAAATTTTATTTCCCACCTTTGCTATTCCTCAGAGGACATTAAAGAAGTGAGACAGGAAAAACAAGCTCAGTCAGGTTTATTTTGTCCCAAGTACAGTAAAAAGTGGCACAAACATGTGACCAACTTTGAACAGCTGGTGGGTTGTTGACTCATTCAATATCCACTCTTTATTTTGTGTATGGACCAAGAATTGGCAGCCACTGTGACTTCTTTATACAAAAAAGCAGGTCACTGATAATTTACTTAGAACGACAAGCAAGTGATTGGTGCTTAGATGAGAATACCCTGACAGGAAAACTGTAAAGGCTCTTCTCTTACCTTTTTCTTCCAAACAAACCCTGTCTTCAGCAGATGGTAACAACCCGGTCCTTACTTTCAATAGTCTAACCTCACCCTTGTTTTGTCTAGAAGTCACTCAACACCCACCACATGCAAGCAACCACTGTTTCTACCCCTTGCCTCTGAGATCTGTCTTGCAAGGATTTACATTGCCCATCACCCAATAGAGTGAGGAAATGAACCGATGTTTCCTCTTTTAGACAATTCTTTATGGATAGTCACATAGTTTGCATCTTAATCACACTATCGTGGAAGGATTTGATGCAGTTTTAAACAAGAAGCAAGGAACAATTTGCAGGCTGCACTCATTTTCCTGCTGTGCTCTACAGAACATTATCTATCAGAATGCTTTCTGTGGATGAACTAAGTCTGCACTGTCAGGTGGAACTGCCACTAGCCACATATGGCTCTTGTGTAATAGACATGTGGCTGGTGTGGTGTGGCTGAGAAACTTGATTGTAAACTTTAATTTTAAAATGCAACTAGCTAGAGCTAATATACTAGGCATCACTTCCCTATAGCCTTGACCATCTCTAGATAAATACGTATAATGGATAAATTACTATATACAAATCATTGTGGTTCTGTTCCAGCCTCTTAGCCTTTTCCATAATGGACAAGAGGAATTCCTGAACTAGTTAAGGATCCCAGTATCATTTTTGCTAGGAAAAGCAAGTCTCCTGACACTGGGTGATTCCACACGCCAGTGAGGTCTCAAGACATGAGAAGATTATGGGTGCCAGCTCACTGCAACTCCTCCATCCAATTACATTTCCCTCTAGCTCTTATTCTATGAAAAAGTGAGAAATGGCACTGTGAGTACGGGGTGTGTGGCCATAACAAGCATTTTATTTTTAAAGAATTCCTTCAAAGGACAGCCTTAGCGAAGGTGCACAAAAATATAGCAATACCTATCATTTCTGTTAAAACAGAAGTCACTTCTCTGAGCTGATCACTAACTAGAATGCATGCTACTAACCCTGGAGTCCTGATTCTTAGCCTGTCACTGGCCACAATGGGTCTAGAAGATAGACAGGGGGCAGTTTAAAACTCACGATTGATTCAAAGCACAAGCCAATGTTAGAGAGATGGCTCAGTGTTAAAGAGAACTGGCTGCTCTTCCAGAGGACCAGGGATGGATTCCTAGAACCACAAGGCAGCTCACAACAGTCTGTAACTTCAGTTCCAGGGAAGCCAAAGCCTTTTTCTGCCTCCGTGGCACTGCACACACATGGTCCACAGACATACAGGAAGGCAAAGCATATATGCACACCCATTAAAAAATTGAAGGCACATGCCTTTAGCCTTTAACTCCAGCACTGGGGAGGCAGAGGCAGGCAGATCTCTGTGAGTTCGAGGTCAGCCTGGTCTACAAAGCTACACAGAGAAATCCCATCTTGAAAAATTAAAAATAAATTTAAAGAAGAACA